TTAAGCTTAAATCAAAGCTAATACTCTCAAATACCTGTGGTTAGTTTATTTTTTGTTTATTCTGTGTAATTTTCCTGCAGTTCTGTAAAATGTTTTGCTGATTTCAGCACTGTCAGCCAACCTCCTCTCAAATATCAACAGGTTCCTTAATCCCAGTCTTTGAAAGAAACATACCTTTTTCAGCCTATGAAAATTGAGACATGTCTTCTGTAGTGTGGAATGCTCACAGTACTGGCTAGAGCTAAGCACATTGTGTAATAAAGTTTATGTTACTCTTTTGCCTTCACTTCTGTTTTCTTTAGTTCCTTTTTATTTCATAGCTCATATGTAGCCTTATTCTGTTCTCCTTCCCTTCCTCCTTTCTTTGATATTCCCCCCTGTTCCAGCTACCCCATATGTGCTCCTCTCCCTACTTTCCTGTAATGCAAGTAATAAACTCCCCTCAAGCCCCTGCCAGCCAAACTCACTAACCACTGTTAACCCCTTACCCTCCAGGCACCACAGGCCAACCTCACTACCCACTGTTAACCCCTTCCCTGCCAGTCCCTGTTATCCACCTATCGCGCTGGTAACCCCTTCCTTGCTGACAGGCAACATTTATCTCATTCTAATGGTGTACTTTGTACTCAATACTGCCGTATTTTGTACAATAAATATATATTTTACAGTGATAACAGGGGCTGTCAGAGAAGGGGTCTTATGGTACCTTGTTTTGATACCCAGGCTGTGCAGCAAAAGGCTCTTAGGGCATAAATCATTGCCCTGTTGTGGTTCAGTTTGGTTCCTAATAAGCGCATGATATTTATTGTGCATTCCTAAGGTCCGGTTTATGTTATCTATTCTATTACACTCTGTGTGATGGGTCTCTATATATTCCTGGCATGGGGTTATCAGAGGCATGGGGGGGAAATAGGGACTAACAGGGAAGAGGTAACCAGAGGGATGGATCCTACCTCTCCCAGCGCTCTTTCAGTGTTTCTTTCTCTGGCTCGGCCTCTTCTCCCCAATCCCTCTCTTTTTGTGTTCCCAAAGAGTCTGTTCTTGGTCCCCTATTGTTCTCAATCTATACTGCTCCCCTTGGTAAACTCATCAGCTCCTTCGGCTTCCAGTATCATTTCCATGCGTATGACACGCAAATTTATCTGTCCTCCCCTGATTTCTCACCATCTCTCTTGACTCACATCTCTGACTGCCTCTCTGCTATTTCCAACTGGATGGCTGCTCATTTCCTTAAACTTAACCTGTCCAAAACAGAACTGGTCTTCCCTTCCTCAAGTGTTGCTACTCCCTTGTCTGTTTACCTCCAAGTCAGTGGTGCCACCACCAGCTCTACCTCGCTGCCTAGGTGTTCTCTTTGACTCCGACCACTCCTTCACCCTTCCTGTCCAATCAATTGCCAAATCCTGCCGATTCCATCTCAAAAACATAGCACACATCTGCCCCTATTTAACGCCATGCAGGCCCGGACTGGCCATCGGGCACACCGGGCAAATGCCCGGTGGGCCGCGGTGGCCATGGGCCGAGGCCGGCAGGGGAGATCACAGGATCTCCCCTGCCGGTCTATGCAGGGCCGGCACTCTCCTAGCGCCGGCCCCGCTGTTTGTCACGATGGGCCGGTGGGGAGATCAAGGATCTCCCTGACCGGCCCACATGCGGCCGCCGGCGGGGAGGGAGGGAGGGAGCCAGCCAGGATGGAGAGAGGACCCGGCGGAGCTCTAACTTGCAGCTCCGCCGGGTTCCTCTCGCGAGATCCGGCGCGTTGCCATGGCAACGACCGGATCTCGCGAGAGTGAACTCTAGCCTCACGGGCTAGAGTTCACTCACCCACGAGGACCACCAGGGAACACCGCGTGCCGGACCCCCCCTCCCAGTCCCAGCGTGCTGGTCCCCCCCCCCCTCCCATGCTAAAGGTAAGAAGGGAGGGGGGGAAATAATGACTTTTTTTTATTTTTATTTTATTTACCCCCCTACACACACACACAATAACATTTATACAGCACTCTCACACCCATCACACACAGCACTCTCTCCCACATCACACACAGCACTCTCTCCCACAGCACTCTCACACCCATCACACACAGCACTCTCTCCCACAGCACTCTCTCCCACAGCACTCTCTCCCACAGCACTCTCACACAGCACTCTCACACAGCACACTCTCCCACAGCACTCTCTCCCACAGCACTCTCTCCCACAGCACTCTCTCACACCCATCACTCACACCCATCACTCACACCCAGCACTCACACCCAGCACTCTCTTACCCATCACACACAGCACTCTCACACCCAGCACTCTCACACCATCACACACAGCGCACTCTCACAGAGCACTCACACACACACAGCACTCTCACACCCATCACACACAGCACTTTCACACACACACAGCACTCTCTCACAGCACTCTCACAGAGCACTCTCACACCCATCACTCACACACGGCACTCTCACACCCATCACTCACACACACTACACCGCACCCTCACACACACACATACTGCACCCCTCACATACACACAGAACCCCCCAACACACTGCACCACACACATACACAATACTTCCAAATATATATATATATATATATATACACACACACACACACACACACTACACTCTTAAAGGACCACTCTAGCCACCCAGACCACTTCAGCTTAATGGTGGTGCCAGGTCCTTCTAGGGTTAACCCATTGTTTTATAAACATAGCAGTTTCAGAGAAACTGCTATGTTTATCAATGGGTTAAGCCTTCCCCCAAAACCTCTAGCAGCTGTCTCATTGACAGCCGCTAGAGGTGCTTGCGTGCTTTTCACTGTGAAAATCACAGTGAGAGCACGCAAGCGTCCATAGGAAAGCATTATAAATGCTTTCCTATGCGACCGGCTGAATGCGCGCGCAGCTCTTGCCGCGCGTGCGCATTCAGCCGACGGGGCGGATCGGAGGAGGAGAGCTCCCCGCCCGGCGCTGGAAAAAGGTAAGTTTTAACCCCTTTCCAGAGCCGTGCGGGAGGGGGTTCCTGAGCCACATATGCATCACATTACACCACAAACACAACACGACTAAAACCGACCTTATTACACAATACCACACCACGACCAGCTCACTCTACACACACCGCAATACCACAAGCAGGCTCCAAACACATGCACAATACTCTGTCCTGGCCTTTTGTCTCCTGGTATCCATTTATAGAGACACCAGAGACAAGTTGCAAGGAAACACAGTGCAAGCATGTTATTAAATTTGCTTGCACTGTGCAGAACAAATACAGGACTTTTTTCTCATGCTAGAGCTCTTCAGCAGAGCTCTGCGCATGGTCTGCCCTGGAAGAGCATTGAACCAACATGCTCACTTTGAGAGGAGGCGTGTTTGTCATTGGTGATGACAAAACACACCTCCTCTGCCCCGCCCCCTTTTTAGTGGGCCGCTGTGTTAAAAAAATGCCCGGGCCGAATTTTTCTCCCAGTCCGGCCCTGACGCCATGCCACTGTCCTCTCTCACCTTGACTGTAATTCGCTTCTCCGTGCTCTTACGTGTTCCAAGCTTGTCCCATTACAGTCTATAATGAATGCAGCGGCGAGGCTTATATTCCTGTCTGCCTGCACCTCACACGTCTCCACCCTCCGTCAGTCCCTACATTGGCTACCCGTTAGATATAGGGCTCAATTTAAGATCCTGCTACTTGCTTACAAATCTCTACACAATGCTGCTCCTACCTGCCTATCTTCACTAATACACAAATATGTCCCATCTAGGCCCCTACACTCTGCTGAAGACCTACGTCTAACTTCTGTTCGTACTCCAACCTCTGATGCTTGCCTTCAAGACTTTTCTGGTGCTGCGCCATTCCTATGGAACGATCTTCCCCTGTCTATTAGACTTTCACCTACTCTCCACTCCTTCAAAAAAATATTTGAAAACATGCTTCTTCAGGAGGACATATCAATTAAACTGTGAACCTCCCCGCACCCTGATTCCTCTCCTGCAACTGTCATCAAAACACTAAGTCCTCAGTGAATACTAACCTAGTAACCTACTTTTCTACCCTTACCTTTTGTGTCACTATAGCCCACTCCCTCTAGGATTGGGAAGGAAGAGGTTAAGAGTGGGTATGAAGGTTGATTAACAGGAGCTAAAAGGGGAAGGGGTTAACAGTGGGTAGTGCATGTGGTATGAAAGTTCTAGTCTCTTAATGCTATATTTGTAGTGTAATTTAGGTTGAGTACTTCTTGGGCAGGTATTGTGCAAATTGCATCAAGAAGCTCCAGCATGCCTATATAGGCGTGTCATTACTAAGTCTCATAAAGAATCAATGGAGCTTGGCCATTGGTGGATGGTCCAGCTGAAAAACAGGAAGCAGGGAAAAGTCAAAGGGAGAAATTACATGCAATCAGAGGAGGAGCAGAAAATCTGATAAAATTAAAGATTTAAAAAAGGTACTTCTAAAGCAAATTTTTACACTGTTTAGTGACAGTAGGTTTGCTGTTGTGAGGGAGGATATATATATATATATATATATATATATATATTTTTTTTTTTATCTATACAGTTCCTCTAATAGTAAAGCCAATAATATGTTTTTGTGGAAACATAGAAACATAGAAACATAGAATGTGACGGCAGATAAGAACCATTCGGCCCATCTAGTCTGCCCAATTTTCTAAAAACTTTCATTAGTCCCTAGCCTTATCTTATAGTTAGGATAGCCTTATGCCTATCCCATGCATAAGGCTATCCTAACTATAAGATAAGGCTAGGGACTAATGAAGAGTTGTAGATGCATCATAAAAACATACCTTGTTAGGTGGTAGAGTCCAATGGAAAATTTAAAAAAAGAGACAGCTTAAGACTGAATATAATTCACACATAAGATTTATTTTTTTTAGGTAGGAAATGAAAATACTGGATGGGCGAGTTGCAAGTGTCACATGTGAAAATGTTTGTTTCTGTTCTTTAAATATACACATTTATCAAAAACATTTTTATTTCCCATTGCGGTTTAAACAACTTTTTTTGCAATGAGGAAATCTTTAAAGCGTTTGATTTGCCAGATTCCAACAGAAGTTAGGATCACAGTCTGTGCAATCGCCCACCACAACACATTGCTGTTAGTGTCTTCACTCTTTTGCCTGTAGTGTTCCTCTCGTAGCTGTGTGATAATAAAAATACAACTCTATTAATTGCAATATTTTGTCTTGGAGATCAAGGCATTATTATTGTATGTGTGAATTACCATACGCACAGGGCTGTAATATATCTTTATTACCATATGTTAATCATAAATATTGTGTTCCAAGCAAGGAAACATTTTCTGCATGTATCAAGTCAATGCACTTGTATAATTTCTTTAATCTTTATAAAATTTAACATTTGTAATATAATAGTATATTGTTTTTTATAACTGTTTGTAAAAAAAAAAAAAAAGAATATTCATATGTGTGGATCTTTGTCTGTTTCATAGATTCATTGTTGGTCCAGTGTTATTATGGAGCATTCATTCCTGATCGCAAATGTTTGTTTAATTTTGTAAAGCCCACTGGAGACTGGGCAAATTCCAAGAGCCACTTAGCAAGAGCTGTTACAATTTTATTGCTGACAGTTTTAGGGGATTTAATACAGGTATCTATCATTTTTGCATATTTGCATGTACTTTGTCTTTCCAATTTTGTTTTGTCATGCATAGTTTATTTCTCTTATGGCTACTCACAGTTCTTCCCAGCCAGACTAAGCAACCAGGAAGAAGGCTTTTCTTTTTTGTATTTTTTTTAAGCTACATCCTTTGCCAAATTTTCCTTCATCTTAAAGGGACACTATAGTCACCAGAACAACTACAGCTTATTGAATTTGTTCTGGTGAGTAGAATCATTACCTTCAGGCTTTTTGCTGTAATTACTGTCTTTTCAGAGAAAATTCAGTGTTTACATTACAGCCTAGTGATAACTTCACTGGCCACTCCTTAGATGGCTGTTAGAGATCCTTCCTGGGTCATGGCTGCCTAAAATGCATCCAAACATTCAGTGTCTCCTCCCTCTGCAAGCAGACACTGAACTTTCCTCATAGAGATACATTGATTCAATTCATCTCTATGAGGAGATGCTGATTGGCCAGGGCTGTGTTTGAATCATGCTGGCTGTGCCCCTGATCTGCCTCTTTGTCAGTCTAAGCCAATCCTATGGGGAAGCATTGTGATTGGATTAGGCTACCACTTCGTATGATGTCAGCAGACAGCTTGTTTTTCTGAGGCAGACAGGGCAGAGCCAGCAGCTTCAGGCTTGAATACAAGTAAGATTTTTACTATATTTATGGAGGAATGAGGGGTCCAGGGGAGTGGATTTAAAACTATAGGGTCAGGAATACATGTTTGTGTTCCTGACCCTATAGTGATCCTTTAAGCTCGGACATTAAAGCGGCACTGTCAGCATCTGGGGACTTTGCAGAATTTGCAAAGACCCCTAATGTTGACATCATCGCTGGTGGCTGGGGGGCAGGTTAAAGGACCACTCTAGGCACCCAGACCACTTCAGCTTAATGAAGTGGTCTGGGTGCCAGGTCCAGCCAGGGTTAACCCATTTTTTAATAAACATAGCAGTTTCAGAGAAACTGCTATGTTTATTAATGGGTTAAGCCTTCCCCCTAATCCTCTAGCGGCTGTCTCATTGACAGCACTAGAGGCGCTTGCGTGCTTCTCACTGTGATTTTCACAGTGAGAGCACGCCAGCGTCCATAGGAAAGCATTATGAATGCTTTCCTATGTGACCGGTTGAATGCGCGCGCAGCTCTTGCCGCGCGTGCGCATTCAGCCGACGGGCGGAACGGAGGAGGAGAGAAGGAGGAGAGCTCTCCACCCAGCGCTGGAAAAAGGTAAGTTTAAACCCCTTTCCAGAGCCGGGCGGGAGGGGGTCCCTGAGGGTGGGGGCACCCTCAGGGCACTATAGTGCCAGGAAAACGAGTATGTTTTCCTGGCACTATAGTGGTCCTTTAAGGTGAGTTCTACTTACCCAAATCTGTCCCACTTAAGTGCCAGGAGCCTACGTCACTGCGGGCTATGGAGGAGACCGCTGGATCCTCCATAGACAGGGCCAATTCTTAACTGATGGTCACGGCTGAGGTGAGTGACACTTCTAGATGGTGGTAGCTTCGAAGAAATATACAGATACAAAGTAGTCTCAGTATATCTCTTGACTGCATTGGAATTCCAGCACAGTTCCAATGAGTATTTCATAATGATTCTATCTTTATGAAATACTAATTTTTCAGGTGAAGGGGGGGGGGGGAGGCGACAGTGCCACTTTGAGTTTTTACAACGTGCTCCATTCTTTTTGTTTTATAGTTATTGTGTGCACAATTGTTTCTAGCCATTGCCCGATTTGTTTGTTTGTGCTAGACATGTCACAACTCCTGCCCTTGTGATGTATAAATAAATAGTCAGTGACCTGATCCTGTTTAGTAGCTGGATATGTGTAATGCCTGTTTTTCACTTGTTATGGCAGCCGTGCTTTCTTGAACACACTTTTATTCCATTTCTGCTATTTGATCGTAAGAATCTTACCTGTAAGATTCGGGTAAGAAACCGAGACCTCTCGGCACCGTAAGAACTTCATTTCGAGGAAGTTGTTATGGTGCCCATACAGTTCCTTTAAGTTGTCCTAACCAGTATAGAGAAAACTTACTCTTTGATATTCTTGTTCTTTAATTATATGATTGACTTCCCCCATGAGATGCTCAAGACCGTTTGTAACTTGCTTTACTTTATCCTTGGTATCAATGGTTGCATAATCTACAGGATGCTCTCCTACTTGTATGTCAAAGTGGACACGCTGAAAAGAAAATAAAGCTATAATCAATCTTGGTTACTTAGTACATACATCTCAAACTAACAATTGTCATATTCACAAAGTCTAATTTTATTTTGTCACATAGTAAAGACTGGTTGGGTGTATTCAATAAACTAGGTTTCGTGAAGAACTGACTAGTGATTACACATTTTTCACTAAAGCTGTCTAGTTGGAAAATTTTGTTTTCTAGTAAAGCTATTTTGCCCTAACATAAGTAATAAGTTCTCCACAATTCTTGTACATTTATAAGCCTTGTAGTTTTATCATCAAATAGTGTATAATTTAATGTAAATGGTAATTGTATGAAGATTTAGAAATGTACTCATACATTGTGAACTATTGATTTATCAGTGTTTGTTTTTTCTGTCACATCATGTGCAAGTTAAAGGGACACTTCGGGCACCAATACAACTTTAATGCATTTGATAGATTTTGGTGCTGTATTTTTTAATTTTTTTTGCATGCTCAACATCTTATAGTTTTTGCTCATAAAAAATAAAAAATGTTTTGCAGAATTCTGCACCCTCCTATACCCTTGCATGCCTTATCAAAGGTATGCACAGAGTCTCAACAGCACTGAGTGAGATTCTTATAATTCATGGTTTAATTTATGTCCCCCTAGGCATCCTGTCCTGCTAATGCAAGTTGTTTTGTAGTTCAGACAACTTAGTGCTGCCAGTGGCTGATCTGTGTGCATACTTTTTATAAGGAAGTATTTTTCTGATGTGAGAGGTGTGGCTAAAGAGGCAGGCTTATAGAGCAGCATTCTGCAAAACAGTATTTAAATTTTTTTTTAAAAATAATTTAATGCAAAAACTATAACAATTACAGCACATTACAAAACCTATCAAATGCATTAAAGTTGTATTGAAGCCTGGAGTGTCCCTTTAAGTTGAATTATTTGTTTTTGCTAATTCGTATTTCACCCATAATAAAATATAAGGCACCCACTATCCATCATAGCAAGGGGGACAGAAACCTGTGTTGCGCCAATCTGGCTGCAACTCCAGATGTGAAAGAAATGGTCCTGCAATTCCCCAGATGTGTGCAAACCTGTGACCTTACAGCAACATTTTGACCTTCACTTGACAAAGATCTTGTCAATGTCACATGTTTCTATTAAATGGCGTGTGTTATAGATTTTTGCTCAGAACTCGAGGATCGTGGTATCATTTGTTTATTTTTCTAGGGTAGGTAATTGTCAGAGGTGTCTATTGTCATATTTTCCTGCAGCACGTAGCTAATACAAATCTACATTTACAAGAATAGGAGGACCTTGTGTTACATTGTAATGTGTGTGTATAAAAGGCCTTGCTTTAATATTGTTTGATAACCTTTTCAATTAATTTAATCCTTTTGAAGACCGTTTTAAAATATTTTCAAAATATTACAATTTCAAAAAAGATAATATAGCTAAAAAAATCTATCAACAGATCAAAAAATTTCAATAGTTTTTATAATATTAATTCAGTGTAACAGTTTATCCAAAAATATGAAATAGTTTGAAAAGCGTATTCAAAATTCTTCAAGGCTGAAGGTCTTTCAAATGCAAAATAAAAAACATCTGCACTTGCCTTTCAGTGAAATAAATATTTATTATTTTTTATTATGATATCCAAGCACAAATATATGAGCCAAACTTATATTTTTACTCAAGAAACCAAGAATTGTAGTGATTTGAATTTTTTTATATATACTTTTCAGTTTCTTTGTTTTGTCCTCATATTTGTCTCTTGTCCATTCTCCACTAGGAATGGAATGTGGCAAAAATAAATGCTCAAATTGTGGTTCGACCAGGGTGAATCAATAATATTCTTGGGTGTTAGAAAAAAACCTAGAATGTGAACCTATGCTGACTTTACCAGAAAATTTCTCCTGTCAATGTTTGCATTAAAGGAGTACTATAGTGCTAGGAATGCAAATCTGTATTAGCACTATAGTTCCCTCTGCCCCCCCTCCCCTTCCGGAAAAAAACAAACCCTTGTTACTCTTACCGTGTCCCTCTGCCTCCTCCAACATCATCTGAAGGGGGTCTAATGCATGGTGAGCGCATTGGGCCCTCCCAATGCTTTCCTATGAAGATTTTAACAGACGATGGATGTCCTGATGCAGTGTCAGTTAGGCAAACTAAAGTTCAGTAAAATCCTGGAAGCCACTCTAGTGTCTGTCTTAGTACTGCAATGTAAACATGGCAGTTTCTATAAAACTGCAATGATTTACATTGCAGGACTAAGGGGGACAGGGACTCTGCATCCAGACCACTTCAATGAGATTAAGTGGTCTGTGTGCCTATAGTGTCCCTTTAAATACATGGACAACAACTCCAGACAATGTGAACTGTTTAATTCTGAAGTAAATCTATTTATTGCATGTGATTACTATACAGTCTTTACTGGCCTCTCCATCACAGCAGTAGAATAATGCAAGACAGTAGTGCTTTTTCAGCACGTCTCTGCAATATTAGTTCAGTTTTATATTTCTGAAGCTTGATTGCATTCACTTTAGCATAGTCAGGATAACAGCTCCTGGGAAAATGGAGTGTGAAATTGTCTTCCTCTAAATGGATGTGTGTTTGAATATTTTTCCATGAAATCTCGGTCTAAACATTTTATGTCTGTACCACGAATTTTGACAAGTAAGCTATTATAAATGCTACATTATTTAATTTAATAGTGGAAGGCTGCAATAGAAGGTGTGCTGTTGCTACCATGTGATGTTTGTGCTAAATGAAGATAGAATGTCTGTCATTCAAAATAGTGTAAGTTGCTCTACTTGTACCAATCTGCTCAGAGACTACATGAGTTTACAGCACTACACCTGCCTTGAAGCACATGGACATGCTATTTGTAAATCTATATTTCTTAACCCCTTCAGTTCCAGAATTGAGTATAAACATATTTATGTTCACATACTTTGAAAAACAAAATGTAACCCAGAAAGTCTCATTCACCCACATTTATACTCCATGAATAATTACTAGTCTATAGAGCAAGCATGTCAAACTCAAAGGCTAGCACGGGCCACATAAACAAGGTTTAAGTATATGTGGGCCGCAAAAAACAACCTTAAATTTTCATAGAAACATGGGTTTGTTTTTAAAAGTACAGTATAAAAAAAAACACCCCCCTCTACTAAACCCCAGTCCCCCCCTCTATACTAAATCCCAGCACCCCCCCCCTCTACTAAACAAAAAATATTAGCCAACAAGCAGGCTCCACTCACATTGCCGCTACCAGTATGCTACTCCAGAGTCCAGCCTCTGGTATACCCCCAATGGAGCCGTCTGCATCCTGTGCTAAATGGATCCTCCTGCTACTCCTTGAAAACCTGTGACAGTGGAGCACATTGACGTTAAGTCAGAATGTGACATGGTGTTGCGTGTCTCCGTGCACCTCCAGGTCCTCCACTGTCCAGCCGCGGCCATTGCAACACTGACCAACACACACTGACAGACAGACACACACTCATTCTCTGACAGACAGACACACACTCTCTGAAAGACACACACGTTGACAGACACACACATTTACACATTCTTGCACACACTCGCATCATTTTATTTATTGCTCCCTACCTTTGGAAGCTAGAGTGGGGCCTTTCTCTGATCTTCTCTCGGGAGCTCAGTCTTCCTGCTCCCAGTTTAGGGATGCCGGGTGCCAGAATGACGTCATATCCCGGCATCACAACAGAGGGTGCATGTGAGGGAGCAGTGAAGAGCAGAAAGACTGAGCTCCCTCGCTGCCGTCAGGGACCACTCCTCTCCGGCCGGGTAATTTTGGCAGAATAGGCATCTGCAATGTGGGGAGAACAGGTGCCTACTCTGCTTTAGTAAGCATGGAAAACTTGCGGCTTGCTGGGCTGCAAAAATATTCATTGTGGGCCGCATGTGGGATGCGAGTTTGACATGCTTGCTGTAGAGGAACAAATGTATCTGCAAGTGTGCTAAAAATGTCAGCTCATCCTCTCCTTCCTAATAGTAAATTCCTAATGGATAACACCACTCCTACATTCAGAGATGGGGAGGAGTGAATGCGCTATATCAGGGGTAGGCAACCTACAGATGTGGACTATAATGCTCTAACACCCATAATGCTGGCAGAGCCTATAGCACCACAAATTGCCAGCTTATATGCAATTCAATAAGTGTATTTGCTGGTTCAACATGTGATTAACCTACCAGCTTGTTTGAACCAAAAGATATAAGATTTGTCGAATTTGACTGGATACAGATAGTGTGCTCTCCAGGGGAGTGTGAGGTAAACATAAATTTTCCATCAGGCCCGTACAATTTTGATAACAATGTCTGTAGACAAAAAGAAAATAGAGTTAATCACGTATAGCACTTTACATAAATACAAATGGTCACAAAACCCCTTAGTAACCCAATATGGTCTCTAAATATCCTGTGCTAATATGAAATACCCTGCTTATTTTGCATTTGGAGAGATATACAGCCTTGCGGGTGTTAAATGTGTTGGACATTACACTTGAGTATAGAATATTGGTCCATAAATGGTTACATTATTGCTTGAGTGGCTATTGGATACTAGTTTACAGTATTATTTATTATATTATTTTGAATACTTTGCTGTATTTTAAGTGAAAAGAGAATAAAAGCCTGCTTACCTCATCATTCGGAGCTTTTACATTTACATACATTCCTAGTCCAGGTGCAGATGGGAGGAAATCATGTTTGTGCATATCCCACTTTTGTAACTTATAACGTCCTTGATACAAATAAAGATGTTACTGTTACACAGAATACAAAATGCAAGTGTTGCATTGCTTTAAAAGCAAAATGAGATAGTTTCAAAGGGGCAGTTGTAACTTTCCTCACAGTTCCATTCATTGTTTGTAATTGTGGCTGAGGGCTAAGCTACAAATCCCATAAAGCATTGCTGAACAGAGGTTTAAAGAAATAAAACGCATGATAAGAAGTTCTAAGATCTGGAGAACAAAATCATATACAATGCTTTGTAGTCAAGCATACACGATTAAAGGATCACTATAGGGTCAGGAACACAAACATGTATTCCTGACCCTATAGTGTTAACACCACCATCTAGCCCGCTGGGCCCCTCATGCCTCCATAAATATAGCAAAATCTTACTGTATTCAAGCCTGAAGATGTAACTCTGCATGCTGTTTGCCTCAAAAAAAAAACCAAGCAGTCTGCTGACATCATCAGAAGTGATAGTCTGATCCAATCACAATGCTTCCCCATAGGATTGGCTGAGACTGACAAAGAGGTAGATCAGGGGCAGAGCCAGCACGATTCAAACACAGCCCTGGCCAATCAGCATCTCCTCATAGAGATGAATTGAATCAATGAATCTCTATGAGGAAAGTTCAGTGTCTGCATGCAGAGGGAGGAGACACTGAATGTTTGGATGCATTTTAGGCAGCCATGACCCAGGAAGGATCTCTAACAGCCATCTGAGGAGTGGCCAGTGAAGTTATCACTAGGCTGTAATGTAAACACTGCATTTTCTCTGAAAAGACAGTGTTTACAGCAAAAAGCCTGAAGGTAATGATTCTACTCAGCAGAGCAAATTCAATAAGCTGTTGTTCTGGTGACTATAGTGTCCCTTTAAGGCTTGATGCCGAAATGTTGTATATCAAGCAATGGCGACGTCCGCACCATGTGAAACCCTGTGAAGGTGGAGCACGTTGACATCATGTCGGAATGTGACGTGGCGTTGCGTGCCTCTATGCATCTCCGCTGTCCAGCCATGGCCATCGCAACACTGACCAACACTCACTCTCTGACAGACACACTCTGACAGACACTGACAAGCACACTCACTGACAGAGACTCAATCACTGACTGACAGACACACTCATTGACAGACACACTCACTGACAGACACACACACTCACTCTTTGACAGACACTCACTGACTGACACACTCACTGACAGACACACAAACACTCACTCTGACAGGCACAAAGACACTAATAGGCACACAGACACTGACAGACACACACACGCTAACACATTCTTGCACACCTTTACATAATTGTATTTATTGCTCCCTACCGTTGGGAGCTGGTGTGGGGATCTTCTCTCAGGAGCTCAGTCTTCCTGCTCCTCACTGCTCCCTCAGTTTAGTGATGTCGGGTGCTGGAATGACGTCATATTTCGGCACCTGGTATCACCACAGAGGGCATGTGCAAAGTGAGCAGTGACCTCTTCTCCCTGGCCGGGTAAATTTTAGCAGATTAGACACCTGCAATGTGGGGAGAGCAGGTGCCTACTCTGCCTTAGTAAGCATGTCAAACTCACGGCTCGCTGGGCCGCAAAGATATTCATTGTGGGCCGTGAGTTTGACATGCTTGTTGTATATGATTATGCTCTTGTGATCTTCACTGTTGGACTCTGCTTCAGATCCAGTACTGTAATCATACTTCGGTCACGGCAGGGCTTGTTGAGCATGTACATTGGCCTGGAGGAAAATCATCCTTGAGCGCCTGATGGTTTAACAGAGAACTACTTTGAGTTTTTCAGCTACATTTTCCTAATTTTTAGCTACTGCTAGATACTTACGTTCCATTAGAATTTGCCTTTATAGAGTAATGCAGGGGTGCCCAAATGGTAGATCCCCAGAGGTTTCATATCTACAGCTACCATGATGCTTTGCATGTCTTTAGAACGACAAAGCCTCATGGAAGTTGTAGTTTTCAAACATCAAGGGATTTTATTGGGGGAACCCCTGGAGTAATGTGACCTAAAATAAACCTTTCTGTACACTGCTGACCCCCTTTACTTGTACTGGCAATTCAAAAATGAGTTATGTAGGGTAAACAATAATCATTTATTTAAGGACATGAAAAATGCTTTGCTGCAGTATGTGGAATGAATATTATCCAAGGATGAATCTATCTAATCAAAAGGATGCTCCCAAGTTACTACTTTGATTATTATATTTTTCTCTACATATTGTGGGGAAGCT